GATCAGTTCTTTATATATACTTGTAAAAAAGAAAACTCACCTGTCACTTTTGGATTTCTGTTAAGTCACAAAGAGTATTGCCAATTGCAATTTTCATATTTTACTTCAATTTACTTCGGTAAGTAGCTGGCGTAAAATTTATTAATATTCTAAACATTTAACCCCTCTGCAAGTCAACAAGTGGTCTGGTAGCTAAAGCCGTGAACTGCCAGTTCTTCCCAATGTCTGTTTTCAGTGATTAAACGGGATGAATGGCATAAGGTTTCAGTGGCTTTTCTCATGTGCAACATAAATATGTCCCGTTGTTTTCGGAAAGTTCTCCACGCGGGCGTCTACCAGAGGCAGACAATCCTTTGTCATAATCAAATAATTCAATTGACCCAAATGTGGACAGGTGACTAAGACCGCCAAATACTTGTAGTGTTATGTATGTTAATGGCCTGGCATCATATGCGAAAATCGCGAATGTAAACCAATTTACCTCAGAAAGGTCCTCCAAAAAAGCTGCTCTTTCCTTAGGCTGATAGCCCTCGCTTATTTGATAAATAAGAAACTAAACATACAATTCAATCCACTGCGTTTTTGGACTAGAAGTTTGGGTGCTTTCAAAAGTTTTTCCCATGTGTAGAGTACATACGAAACAGCTTCGCTTAGAAAGTCCTCCACAAAGGCATTCCTTCCCTTAAAAGCAAATATCCTTCATGTGCTTTCTTTTCCATGCTCAAACAAAACATCCAATTTTGTACAATCTATTTTTCACTGCACTTCATATGTGCTATATATCCAGACTGTAACTAGATAAGTACTGGTTACACCTTGGGGAAATGAGTATTTTTTTACCTCAGGTGATCATGACTGCAGTACGAAACATTTCTTTTCGAAAATTAGACAATTCTCAGAATTCTATGCATTCATGCTATGTTTTTTAAAGATTAAATGCCGTCCACATCTATTTAAGTTTTCAAAGTATCTATTAAATTAGCATATAACGATATACATCTTTCTTCAAAAAACAAACTGGCATTTTTTTTGTGTGTGTGTGTGTTTCCTTTTTCAAAATGAATCGTTTGAGACTCGATAAACAGCATAATGAAATCACAAAGAGTTGAGGGGGAGAAAGTTTCACCTCTAATTACGTTGCTTTTAGGTCTAATTTTTTATGGAGTGTCTACAGCAATTTGGCAGTTTTTTGGCATTACGTTACTTCGAGATAGTGTCAGTTTAAATAATTTTGAGGCCTCCTAACACTGTCCCTTTAAAATTCAGTTTTCTATAACACTTTTAAACCATAACGTAAGTTATCACCACTAATCATTTTATTTCGAAATTAAAAAAGCACTAGCACTTAGGTCATCTATTTTGTATATTAACAATTTTCAGAATTATATGATTTTTCACAGCCAGATAGAACACAAGCTTAGTAAATATATATAATGCGACACTTTCTTCCCAAAACTGCTCTAGTTCCTGCTTCAAAAGATGATTGCTTTTTTAAATTTCCATATTTGGTATCGGTGAATTGAACATCACCACATGCAAGCATGTAACTAATTCATTTGCCTTTTCATAAATTTTTTCGAAACCATTTATCTGGACTCTTCAGTAACGTTCACAGAGCTTCATTGATAAGTTCACTTTAGTTAACAGTATCTAATAACAATCCTTCTTTTGAATTACTTAATTGGCCCAATTAAAAATAATGTACCAAATTACAAGACAAAATTTAAATGCTGCGATTTCTTTCAACAAACTAGATATTTCCTAATACAGAAGTATGTCTTTAAAATTTTTTTGAGCTCTTCTAAAACTTATATTTTGTTCTTAAGTTCATACTTAAAAGATTTTCTCATTTATCATCTAATTTCATTGGGAAGTTTTTGCCTCAGATTCACATAACTAGTTAAAATTTTCCAGTGTTTCATAGATGCAGAAAATAAAGTAAACAAACTTTGGTCCCCCTCCCCACTAAAAGACTACAGTTTTTGAAGTTTTAACTGCATCATTAATAACCAAATTCAAAATAATCTCTTGAGTCGATTAAGCATTGAGAACAATGAAGAGTTTAGGATCCCCCTCCGCTTCCTGGGAAATTTCTGGTTACTGTGATAAAAACACAAGATTCCTACCATTTTTGCTTGCACATTACTTAATTATAGAAACATAAATTAAAATTTCTAATTATTCAGAATTTCACACATAAATATTCAAAATATAGTAAAAAAATTTTCACTTAAAACCCATTAAACTTAAGTTATTGTTTTAAACACAACACAGATAGTCAAAGGAAATAAACCAATTTTTAAACCAATTCAAAACAAATGTTAGCAAACCTTAATTTTGCCATATCTAATGAGGCAGACAGATTCATAATACAGTACCTTTTCCAGAAACCAATATAAAAGGCATACTATGTTCATGTTTGGTACTCGTATAGTTCCGTTAATTTTTACTGCAGACTGTAACAATAATTATACCGCATGCATTTACTATCACTATCGATACTGCTGTAACATGAAGTTTCCAGTAGTCTGCTTATTGAAAAATAAACAAAACATAAAACAGCAAATGCAAAACATAAAACAGTATATGCAAAAATATAAAATTACAAATGTTCACTTTTAAATTTTTTCTAATGATATTTCTCCTCTTATATGAGAAAATCTTAAGTTTTACTTTGGAAATCCAGATTACTGGATTCTTTAGATACAGGTTTATTTTGAAATTTAAATTAAAAAATTCTGCACTACTCTCTTAAATTTAAATACATCATTCATATTATAGAATATAGCAACATAATTTTATACTGGTTATTAAGCTTGTAGAGTTGTGCGCCTCCAACCTGCACACAACTAAGAGGTGACTGTTGAAACTGGAAAATAGACAGAGTCTTGCTAAGGGTTTAAGTCCCTTTTTATTCAACTTAAGAAATTACAATAGCGTGCTCTTGACGCTCACAAACTACGCCAACCCGGCGGTAAAATAAAAATAAGAACCTGAAAAGAAAATAATAACAAGACTCTAACTACGAGGCTCTCTAAAAGTAACTAACCTCACCGCGTTTTACAATACCGCTGCTAATTCAGCAAACTTTGAATATCACGTTGAACAATTAACAATTCTCCGAGGCAAGTACACAGGCCGAAACGCGGGTTCTTCAATTTCCGGTTAACTACCTCCGCACTCGTGAAGTACGAACAGCACACCTCGAACTCGTTTCCATTCTATTTAACTCAGAATACTTCCGCTGATAATTTGAATCCTTGCGCGTTCTACTAAAATTTACATACTCTGGCATTGGCAGTTCCAGGGGAAAGTAAGGCTTGACAGGAAAGATAGTTTAAACTTAAAATAAATGTTAGTTAAAATAAATATAAACCCTACAAGCTAACTAAATTGCCCACATATTACAAATAATGTACGCATTTTAACAATTACATTTTTATAGACTTCTACATACGAAAACTTTCACTGGCAACTAAATTTAATGATTTTAAGAGGATGGAAAATAAATAAAGTGGAACTTCAAGCATACTAAAAACATTAAAAGCAAAAGAATATTGACATTTTTTAATCCCTAAACAAGAAAATTATAAGTGACTGTGATATTAAAAAGAAGTACTTTCATGTTCTTGGGATTGCTGATTGAATTCACTTGCTACCTTATGCAGTTCACTTATATTTCTTTTGCACTGTATAATACACAAATCACATTACTCCCTCCCCCTTTTAATGCTGATATTCAAATAACTTTATTTAAAATGCCCAGAAAGTTTCTTAAAACCATAAACATAATAGCACACATTAATTACTTCATGTCAGCAATGTATCAGTTAATAGTACAACTCAATAGCATTATCTGCCACAAATTATTATAAAAAAAATTTTACCTCTAAATTTCAGTACTATATAAGCAAACCTAAATTTAAATTAAACAATTCTGCAGGCATTACTTATTTATCACTTCCTCAATGCAAAAAAATAACAGCATAATATTTTTAAATTTTACTTGGTTACTTACAGATACAAAAAGAAATGTTATGTAGTTCTCTTTCTTACAACAGATCTTGAAATCAAAATCAAAACAATTATTTCATTTCCTAGAACCTTCTCTGCTTCAAAAAAAGGGGGGAAGGGGAAAGAAAAAAAACTAATACAAAAATGAAGATTAAATTTGATGAGCTAATTTATAACAGCTAATATTCAAAGATTAGACTGTTCATTTTGCAATGTGTGCTTGCGCTACATTAAACAGGTTAAACAGATCCCGTGCTAAAAATACACTATTTCTCTGCAGCATTTGTAACAGTGTTTTATAATAAGGAATATAGTTGAATATTATATTCGGTCTACAGTCAGAATTAAGCCAAATCATTAATAGCTTAAAAATGAAGTAGCAGTATGGCACAAGACTACTCATATGAGAATCCAAATAAACTTACACTACCAAAGGAGTTAAAATACATGTTTAAAGAGAAAAATGTGGAAAATACAAAGAAAAATATGTACATAAATGAAGATTTCACTCATATGTAATGTAAATTTTTAATATTACACTAATATTAAATTCTGCATCCTTTTAAAGATGTTTTACCTTTAAAGATTTGTTAAAGTGTCAAAAATTATTTTTTTTACTATTTTAGCATGGTAATGAATATTTTAACAAATTTAAAAATTTAGATCCCACTTTCCCAGAGAGAAAAGGAACCTCTCTGCCCCTATCAAAAAATCAGTTTTGAACACAAATTTGTTTTTCTTAGCCCAAATAAAATTAAAATATCCACAACACATTTATTTCATTAGATTATTTAAACTTTGAGAAAACGATACATAATGGCTTTGAAGTTAACATATGGCAAATATTAAAGTTACAAACAAAACTAAAGCTGTAATTTAATTAGGTTAAGAAACTAAGAAGAGCTCAAATTATAACAAAAAATGACTTCACTTTTAACATAGAAGACACCAAATTAAATAACACAATGCAGTCAATAGACCAAGAATAGCTCACAAAAAAATTTATTTATACAATTGGAATATGTACAAATAATACAAACCTGAAAATATGTTTAAAATAGTTTTACTTTAGTATATAAATATGATTAAAATACATTAACTTCAGTTAGATTACTTTAGGCTGGTTTTTTATGATAAATATTAAAATATTTATATGAACTGCAATAATACTGACCTCACAGAAATATATTTCATTAAAATATAAAGAAGAATATAAAAGCAAGTGGTACTGATATAACTTTTATTACATATCATTTATACGCAATAGAATTTAACATATAGGAAAAATTTCATATTTTAATGATGCACATTTTTTCACCCATAAAAGACAAAAATTACAGTAATACATTTCATACAATAAAAACCAAATTTCCCACCAACTTGAATAACTTCATTTTGCTTCTGAAAATAACTTTTATAAAAAGAAACAGAAACTTGATTTTATTCTCAAGTTGCAGATAAATAAAAGTTTTTATGACAGATGAAATACATAAATTATATTATTAAAAAATTTCTAATTAAGGCACTTTATATAAAGAAATGTAAGGAATTTAGTTGCATAAATATCTTAATACTGTTTAAATAAGATAATAAAAACATCTATTACAGATCTTAAGGAAATCAAACTGAATCAAATATCAATATGCTATTCTATTCTTCAGTTAACTACACATGCTGTGAATGGTCTAGCTTCAGCACAATACTGAAATGAATTATCTACTAAAACCAACCACTGCTATTACATATAAATTTCTCATAGGAATATCTTTATCTTAAGGCTTTTTTATTGGAAAAGTGTAACTTAAAAGTAACAAGTGATATGTATGTACTCTAGTCCTACAAACAATATTTTCAGATGTTTATTGCAACTACTACTATTTTATGCGAATCATTTTTAACTGAAACTTCTTCTGAAATTTACATTCTAACCAATGTGGCTACAGAAAGTTAACCAAAAAAATTCTGAAGAAGCTCCATACGTACATTTTACACATAAATAGATTTTAGCATATAAGATCTAACTAGACACCTACTCAAGAAAATCACACAAAAGTAATTTTCATTTTTGCAGTTTGGCAAGTTATCTTTTGTTATCATAAAAAGATAACATATCAGAAATTCTGATTAAAATGTTAAGAATGTAAAGATACAGTTTAAAAAAAATAGGTTAATTTACCATGAAAAATTAAAGTGCAAAAATCAGTTTTATTCATACCACTTTCATAAATGTATCAAAATAGACATTTGCCTAATACATACAGTACAGAAACTTTTAGCAAATGCATGCTTCATTACAAAATGTAGTAAATGGATTCATTCAAGTGAACACATAATATTTGCGAAAAATTGACATTTTTTAAATAGTAAAAATTAAATAGTAATAGTAAAAAATAGTCTCATATTTTTCATTTAGACAAAACTATTTCATGTTCTTTTACATACTTTTTTTTTAACTGCAAAGACACACTGACAGATGCAGAAAAAAGAATCGGATTTATATAGTAATTAACACTAAATACATTTAAAATAAAATTAACAGTTTGAAAAAAAATGTACATGATATACATAGTATAATTCAATTTTAAAAAGTTATATAGATACTTATTCATCAGCCAAATTACAAAGTTCGTTCACAATTCAAAGTGCCGTATGACTGTAGTTTTCCTCATCTAGATATTTAAAACTCTCAGCAAACATTCTTTACCTTATGTATTTAAAATACATTACAAATTCTTTAATAAACATTACAGAAATAAAAAAAAAGGACAACACTGCTTTCTGATTCTAAAATAATTTATAATACTTTAAAATTTTTCCCAAGAGCTTGAGAAATTAGTTAGAGAAAACATTCTTATACTGCTATTACTTTTAAGTTCAAAGCATTCCATGTATGGAAATTTATGAAGCAAAAAATACAAAAGTTATTAAAAAATATGGAAAAAACTAAGGTGAAAAGAAGTAACCCTAGATCATTAAAACTTCATATGCCCTTTTAAAGACGCTGCCATGCTTCTCAAGGTATCCAGAGAAAGTGAATTTTTTGAAAAAAAAAAATTAAGTATTCCAAATAAGACTACACAGTATTATTACCAATAAATTCCTTTTCATGTACTAAATTTTCAATAAGTAATTTGCATCAATAAATGTATTGCATCATAAAACTTGCAAAAGTTTAGTATCATATTTTCAATTCTTATTTTTTGTACTCTAGAGTAAGTGAGACTTTCAAAATTGGAAAGCCAAATAAAAAACATCATTGTAAAAAAAGGTATAAGATACAAAGTTAAACATGATTTAAAATTTCAGACAAAATTAGAAATTAAAAATAAATGGGTAATAAGTAACAAAAACTTATTAAATCACAACATATTTTCAATTTTATATGAATTTACATCAACTGATCAACAATTAAGAACTAATACAAACCATAGAACTGACGATTTTAAACTACACACTTCTTGCAACAAAATATTTCCCAAAGAGTATGAATATTAAAGAATATCTAAGTGAATACATAAAGAACTATGAAAGAGCCTTCCAACACATTTTTGAACAGGATTACACACATAAAATAATTTCTGATTGATATTATCATTTACTGTCATTTTAGGTTTATGAATAATTTTATTTTTCTAGATCAGCATTAGGAAAATGCAAATATCTCAAACAACAACAAACTGCACAAAATATTTAACACTTTTTCCCACTGTTATTTAATTAATATTGAAGGTTTATGCATAGTGAACAAGCATAAAATTTTGTTAATCTGTAGTAAAAAAAGCATTAAAAGTACACTAAATTATGTATATGAATACCTTAAAATCTCCTTCATAAACTGAATTTGAAAGCCTTACTAATTCATATTAATATTATGATGAAACAATATCTGCTTTGTTACCAATTACTTAATTAGCACAAAGTTAGCTAATTTTCTACAATATATTAACATGATTAAAAGGTGTAAAGAGACATATAACATCATCTATTTATGGTAATAGCCTTTCAAATATTTTTACAAGCAAACTGTTTATACACAGTGTAACAACATCTGTTCATATCAATGCACTTAATTTGTAATTAAAACATTACAAAATCACATCTGAAACAAAAATCTGTATGAAAATATTGTACATGGCACAATTTTAAAAACGCAAAATGTTTTTAAAAGCATTTTAATCAACATGAGCTCTCATTAGTAAAAGCGATCTTATTTAGAAATTAAAAAATACATATATAATTCGAAATATAAATACATCACCCGGCACAGTAATTCTCAAACTATTTATTCCCCATGACGCAGCACTGAATCTTAGAATGAAAACAGCAAATAATGCTTGTATAAATAATATATATATGCGTATTGATATACACATATATATGCAAACACACATACAAAATGGATCACAAACAATACTTATAAAATGAACCAAATCACACATTCTCAAAGCCTGAGAAACGCTGATCCAGAAAATTGCATCAGTTTATTTAATACCAATGACAAATTTTTTACACTTTAAAATACCCCCTTCTTTGTATCTAATCATGAATAATACATACACTAGAATTAGCAAATCTCTCTTTGCATAATGAAGAAGTAAAAAAAAGGATAGCTAAGATAAATTTCAAGTATTCCTCACAAATGATTCAAAATATTGGAATTATTCTATACTTTTCAAAAGAATTATGTATTCTGAACGCTAAGCCAAAATTAGTTATGTAATTTGCTATAAAAGAAATCGGGCAAAATTTGTCGACTGTTACACATATTACATGTATCAAAATAATCTGTTTATATACTACAATTTCTAACTTTTTTCAACTGAAACCCAAGTTTTTATAATATTGACACTTATATACCACAAAGATCTGATGGATATGAAACTTAATTAATTTCAACTGACATGCAGAATAATTATAACAGTGTACATGAACTTTTCTCTCGAAATGGGTTCGCTTTCTGGGAGTGAAAACCAATGAGAATATAATCTTCATTTTCATGCTCTTGAATATATTTCTAAATAATGACAACAAAATATATACATATATAAAATATAAAAAATTACTTTAAATAATTATTTTTATGTATCCATCTTAGAAGAAATAATGACAATTAATCATAACAATAAAAAAGAAAATAACACACAATGAACCAATTGCTTAAAAATGCTATTAAAAATTATTGATTAACAGATTATTCTTGTATTTATTTATCATGATCATTTCCTTAGTTTTCAGAATTTGTCAAATAATGTCATTAACTTTTATAGCTGTCAAATAAAATGCCTCCCCCTTTTTAAGAATGAAGAAAAAGTTTATATTTATCCATGCAGTAACATTTTAAATGGTTAGTGAAATTTCATATGCAGAAAGTTTCAGTCAAAACTGAAATTGGTTTATTACAAATTATTGGCTGAATTAAGCATATTCATTGTATTGCTTTAATAAGGAAGGATCTGCTATCCTTGAATTACATACTAACTGAAAAAAAATACAACTGATTCTGTGCATACAAAAAGAACAATATCAGTCTTAATTAGCCGCTAAATAACTGCAGATAACTGAGGGGGGAAGTATTTAATATGAAATTTTGATTAACAAGGGCAAAAATGTGGCATCATTTTGAAATTTCTGGATATCACCAAAATATAACTAACGCCAAATACATTTTTTAAAACGCCAATTTTCATAGATTTCAAAGCTACTTTTTTAACACTTTGAATTTCTAAACTAACAGAATAACAGGTAAAAACATATACATAACAGTATTAATTTAGACAATATTTTAGCAGCTATAAACTCGCAAGAAAACTGAAAGCTTAAAAAAAACCTTACAACCATTGTTATTTATTACACAGATTAAAATACTGCAGAAGAATATTACACAAAAGACAATAAGTTCATAACAAACACGAGCTTAATTAATTAATATGGTAATCAAAATTCCCCTTTATTTAAAAACATAAAAACTGGAAGAGTTCTTATCAGATTATTTAAGTTACATACTATTAATGCAGAAATTTTCCATATACAGCAGAATTCTGCTAATCTGAGTCTGCTTGATTCACTAACACTATCCATGAAGTAACCATATACTCATTTTTTAAATAAGTAATAAATATTCATTTTTTAATACAAAAAAAATTCAATTTTCAGAAAATTCAGCATATCAAATTCAATGGCATTTTTTTCGTCATACAAATCTAAACTTTTAAACATAAGTACACAATATTTACAGCATTATTTAGATGAAAATCAAGAAATTTATTTCATAACAGGAGTTTAGTGTTTTTGCTGCCATATTTGGTGCTGTCTTTTCAATATAAACACACTATATCAACCTATGCAAATTTTACCATTTGAATAAATTCCTACTTTTGTGTTTATATTCTGCTGTATTTTAAAATTGATTTCTATTGCATGTGTAAAAAATTTATTGAATCCCAACTATTCATATGTTGAGACGTAACCTAAATACACCTCAAAGCCAATTTATTTAAATTTTGTGCAATGAAGAAGGTTGTTCATATTAACAATGAATGTGAACATATTCTTCATTTGCAAATGCATGGAATATAAAAGCAGCAGCAGCATAGAGTTTCAGTTAAGGGGAACCTTACTGCATGAGCTTTTGCAGGGCATTTTTCATTTTGTTTAATAACACAATAAGGAAAAACATATGTAATTTTATTTGTGGATATTAATTTTTTTCCATAAAATATTCTGATGTAATTTTACAAGTTACTCATTAAAAAAACTCCAATACATTTTCCCCTTGAACTGATACTTTTTTATGTAATTACGTTAAAAAATATATAAATGGTTTTGTAATCAATAAATACTGATTAAGTCATTTCAAAGTATGAGCCTGTTTTCATTAGTCATTTGGGCAAAAATTAGAGAAAAATATAACAAAGATCTAGAAACCACAGTTTTTAGTCCCAAGATGTACATACAGACTATTAGAATTCTACTGTATATTAATATTTCTACATACAATTGTATAATAAAATATATAAATAAAATTCATACTTTCATGTCATCTATAGCTAAAGAAACATTAATTCGCCTAAGAGATGCTTCTCTTCGTAACTGCTCTACAACTTTCCGTTGCTGCTGTAAGCTAGACATTGCCAAATCTGCAAATGTAAGATAAAGATTATTATTATGAATTTTGTACATCTATAGATAATTTCAGTAAAAATAGTTGTGAAACTGATGTATTTTTTCTGTATAATGAAACATGAAAATCTAAAGAAATGATTCTCTACCAGAAAAATAGATTACAGGGGTAAATCTATTTAACACTGACTAAGGGATATCATTAATTTGGTGACATTTTGGTGCAGTCCCTGTACAACTATGATGGCTACAGTAATTGAATGACTAATTGATCATCTATGCAACTGTAACCATATCCGGCCTTCGCCCATGGCTTCCAGTAATTTCCAGAAATACTACAAATATCTCACCGGTGGGAGAACACTACACTGTTGACCATTAAAATTGCAACAACATGAAGAAAAGCAAATACAAAAAAGATATTTATTGTACGTAAACAGTATGGCATGAAGACAAAATGGTTAAATTTGTAAGCAGTTTGGGGGTTTACAGGGGGACGAAATTAGCAGAAACAGCTGCCACCCCTGGCAGCTAAAACGGCTTTTACCTGGTTAGGCATGGAGTTGAACTGGGCTTGGATGACAGAAATGGGAAACTCATTTCATGCTGCTTCAAGTCTATGCCACACTTCATCAACAGTGTCAGCTGGAGAGGGGTGGCAGGCCAGTTTCTCAGCAACCCATGACCAGATGTTTTCAATGAGTGATAGATCTGGAAACCATACAGACCAGCACAGCAATCGAATAAGTATATCGAGGAAGGTCAGAACATTATGTGCAATACGGTCTTGCATTATTTTATTGAAAGATAGCGTTTAGCAGACCTCGAAGATAAGGCATGACCACTAGATTAAGACGTCAGAAATGTAACGATCTGCGTTCAAATTACTGTCGATTCAAACCAGAGATGTGTGTATCATGTACCCAATAGCTGCCCAAACCATCACACCAGGTGCAGGGCCCCTATGCCGACATCGAATCCAAGCAGGAGACTTGCGGTCTCCTCGAAGCCTTCAGATGGTATACAGCCATCAGAATACTGCATGCAGAACCTGGACTAGTCTGAAAAGATGACATTGTGCCACTCCTGTATCCAGCTTTGCCGTCTGGTGCACCAGAGTCTCTGTTTCTATCTATACTGCATTGTAAATTAATTTTTTTCTGACATCAAACCACTACCATAAGAAAATACACTTAAGTCTTGTTATTAAAATTTCATAATGATAATATTACCTGTAAACAGTTGATTCAGTTATTTTATATAAATAATAGTATAAACCTATTTTCCTTTTATATACAAATATTTGTCAAATTTTTTATTAACAATAATCTACCATTTCATAGATGCATTTAGAGATACAAATTCTGAATATGATTTTGATTCAAACTCCATCATCAAAGACTCACAAGATCTCCCCTTAAATAAGATAGATCACATTAAAGCAATAGAAAATTATTATAATCAAGCAATAAAACTACTAAAAACAAAGAAGGGTAAAAGGATAATTATACAGTCAAAAGTCTTTAATCCAGACGTCCACAATCCGGAAAGATCTATAATCTGAACCTCAAAGCTACAAAATTTCTGTGCATTTGCATACCTTTATGCATGCGCATATGCGTTTACCCATGTGCATAATACGTTTACGCATGCGCATTTAATGTATAACGGACAGTATAGGCTAAGCTAAAATTATCTAATTATCTATTTCAGTTAACGTTGCAGATTGCGTTGTTCCTTAATCTTCTAATTGAATCTGGCTTATTATTTTTTGCAGACTGTTAGAGAAATTTTATAAAAGTAAGCTTGAACTTTCGATTATGTCCAAAAGAATTTTCGATTCTGAAGCTGCCAAAGAATCTCCAAAGCGAAAGTATGTTTCAATGTCCATCAAACAAAAAGTGGAATTGCTGCAAAAAATAGATAAAGGCATCATATCCTTTGTTTTTCTAACCATTCCAAAATCTGTTTATCAATTTCACGCTGTTTTCCAGGGGGAAGGGGACATCGCGGCGCTCAATGAACTGGAAGTTGATCTGTCAGCACTATCCTCATCTTCAGGGCAGATGTTTTTATTTTATTCAGCTTATAATTCCTTACTAAATGCAGTATTTCATCTCGATGTACTCCGTCTTTGATATGATTTAAAACAAATTCCTCGTCATTATAAATATCACGAATACACATCAAACGTTTTTGGTTGCAATTTTCTAATTTCAACTATGTGTAATATATGCTTTACACATGCGCGCGTTGAAAGAAATGTTTAATAAAGTAAACAAATAAATATTAAGCTTTTTTTTGTAAATTTTGACACCCTTTAGATCATAATCATCTTTATTTCATAAATTACAGTTTCATATTTTTAATTTTATAATTTCTGCATGCCATCTTACCAGATTTAAATTGATGTTCTATAATCCGGAAAAACCGATAATCCAGAATCGTAGAAGTCCCGACGAGTCCGGATTAAAGACTTTTGACTGTATACCTCTGAAACTTCAGAATATGATCAAAACTATTTTCAACAATTTAAAAAATGTAGTATTGCTCTCTTCAGATAATACGCAACAAGTTGATAATGCAACTCCTTCCAAATTTACATCGAGCAAAAGTAAAGCACCAATGTTAAAGGAAGGTAAATCTATCCAAATATTGCTTGAATGCAAAGTTCAAGAAATATAGACTGAAAGTTATTCTCATACAGGATCATCTGCTTATCAGTATCAAAATCAGTTAGCGAGTGCCCCGGATGTTTCTCTTCCGACAAAATTCAAGAAAACCATACTAGAGAGGTTCAAGACAATTTCCAAGTATCACAGACGAAAAATCATTTCTAAACCGACCTTCCTGCATGCGCCAGGGTTCGTACACATTTCGGCACACAGATATTAAGTACTTTTAAGGACCATTGATGAAAAAATTAAGGCCCTATGAGCAAATGGGAACTGAATAAATTCAATTAAAAATACTAATATTACCTATGGCTGAATTTCACTTTTGTAATGTCATCTTAAAAATAAAATAGATCCCCAAGTAGCATGCATTATTACTAAACATGAATTAACATAATTATTAATAAGTTTGAGGAAAAAATTAACTTTATGCAATTTATCAAGTAGCATTATAATAGTTGGTCATATTTGAAAGAAGGTTAGCTTTACATCGATTTTTTTTATCTCATTTTTTCACATACTTAGTCAGTCTAAAGCAAGGTTTCTTAAACTTTTTTTCAGTCATGACCCCCTTTTAACACCGAGATTTTTTCACGACACCCCCCAGGACCCAATAATATTTTCAAAAAATTTTGTGAGACCCCATAACTATTGTGCAAATCTGACACATGCGAGAGTGAAACTGTCAATTTTTTCCTGTGTATTGTAATATACTATTGCAGTTTTAGGTCATTAACTTTAATTTCTAATTTAAGACACAGAACAATATGAAAATTTTAAATAAGTAACAGATGAAATGACAGCGTTGTATGCAAAGCAAAGAAAATGAACGTTTATATTATAAAAAGGTGTCGACACGGTTTCATTTTTTTCTTTGTCTGCATTGTCTTATCTTTATCTATTTTCAGATACATTGTGTAAAAATATTTGGCAATTGTAAAATTATTACAATAAATTAACTATCAAACCTGCTAAAATTTTTGGCGACCCACAGTTTAAGAAAACCTGGTCTAGAGGTTTAGTAAATAGCAGGTAGATTTTATGTCAAATAATATAGGTTAAAATGAGATGTAAGATCATAATCAGTATGATTCATAACACGCCAAACATGCCTGACACTAACGGACTATTTATTGCTGGACATGTTCAAACACACCGGGAGTTTCTTTGATTGTAGGACCTGTACAGGTGAGTCTTGCCAAGAGATCCATTTCAGATACACATCATGATACACGACACTTTTGATGGCTTCCCACAAAAAGAAACCAAGGCTCGATAAATCCGGTGAGCATGGGGGCCAGGGAACTGGTCCACCCCGCCCAGTCCAACGATGCAGGAATGATCTGTTCAAATAGCTTCGAACATCCAGTCCAAACACATTTAGTGAAACATCACGCAAATTGGGAAGAACCTGCTCCAGAAAGATCAAATAATTTGTGGCATTCAAATGGCCTGTCGGTGTCAAGCATGTTTGGCGTCTGATGGTGCAAACCTCGAGCATCTGTTGTAACATTCAAGCTGTCATACACCATTTGTATTCATGTCCAATAAATGTTTCAAATTAATCACTCTTGCTTCTTTTCCCATCTTCTACCTCAGCTACCACTTACCCCTGACATTTCCAGGTATAGGTTCCTATGCAATTCTTAATCCTTATGATGTACCCCACCTCCCCAAGAAGTCTGTCACAACATTTATGGTACAACCTGTATATCCTGAGTACACTTTCGAGACATGAAAAACGCAATTTGAATTTTTCGTCAATCAGCCCAGTAGAATGCAAGATATAGAACTGTCCCCCCTTTTTTTGCAGTGTACATGCTTGTAATCAATATGTAACAAATTTATAATATCTATGCCATCAACAATATAACATTTCCCGGGGACTACTGTGGTTTAACAGGCAGCAGTGGCCATGCATTAGGCTCTGGGTCTCACCGGTCAGCGTGAGGCACCTGTGCAACTCCTGATTTCACAAGAAGGTATCTCTAGATAATGGTGGACATGGCACTAAATCGATTAACCACAATGGTAGAGGAATGATGCCCACGTCCCCCTTCATTCACTCACTCTATACTACATTGTCTAGGGAAGATGAAGTAATGGTCACCATGCTCATACTTCAGACTGCTGGAAATGTCGACGCACCATATGAGCGGATACTGGGCGTGCTGAAAACACGCCCATTTCCTGACTAATGGTCTGTGATGTGGTTGTGCGGTTTTACAGGGCAGACCTCACAATATGTCTGTCCTCTCGGACATTAGTCATGAGAAAGCATTGAGATTCTGAATGCCATTCAGTATGACCCTCAGCAGCCCATTGATTCCATATTTGCATGA